GAGTGAAGGAATGATATACAAAGCTGAGCACAAATTTGTTTATATTTTTAAGTGTGAATGGGTGAATGTATGTTTAGAAGAAGTTAGGGTAGAATGTATCAGGATAAATATTTAAACCATCACGAACCACACTCCATACCAGTAAGTGGCGGTAATGCTACTAACAGTTTGTTGCCAACCGCCATAAAACTCGACAAGAAGAAGAAGAAGAAGAAGAAACAGGAAGTTGTGTGAGTTGTAGCTGGAAAAAGAAAAACAACGGCGAGGTCCGGTGGAAAAACTGGTGTTTTTCTGATATTTGTGACTTTAAGTCAACAATATTTATACAGAAATAAACTCTAAATCTTTATTTCTAACTACAGCGATGATTTAATCCTAATATTTACTTCAAATTAGCCGCGGCTTCCTGTTTTAGTGTTTGCTAATGCTGGCTGAGTGAATAGTTTAGTAATGGAGGCTAATTTCAGCTAAAGGAGAGCTGGAAAGATTCCCAGATCAAATCATAGAGCAACAATATCAGCTTCTACCTTTACATGACTGGACTGGAGGACTGTTTCTCCACTGGACTGACAGGCTGGTTCACCAGAAGACATCCTGCAGCTGCTTCTTCCAAAGGTGAGGAAGGTTCCATATGGGAGGAAAACTGTTGCAATATTATTTGCAAATGTGTGCAGAGAGTTATGTGTCTGTTTCTAGATCTGTGTGTGCAGTGGGAATTGAAAATGTGTAAAATAACTTGTGTTTTAAAATGTATTAAAAAAAATTCACAAATCTGTATTGAGATTTACAAATGTGTATTAAGATCTATAAATATGTAGATCAGTCTGTAAAGTGAAATACTTTGAAAATCCGAATTTCCAGCCAACAGTGTTATTGGAATCCAGGACAAGACCTTATTACCTTTGTAACATGAAAAAAAAATGGATATTCTGATGGCAAAAATGAATGAAATAAGAAGAAACACCAACTTACCTGAATATATTAAGAAAAATAACAAAAGTGTTTCTATAAGAAATTCATGAAAAACACTGAGAGTGAAAGAAGCACATTTTTTTTTGGTCCAACAAAACCTTACAGACATTAATGCTGATACTGGCACTGACATTTTCTACTTTATAAACCTAAATAAAATTGTTAACTAGGCTTATTAACTTTTTAATTTTACTTAGTAACTTTTCACATTTTTTCCCTAACTTGATGACTTATTTTTCTGACTTAATTAAACCTAACAATCATGTTTTTGTACTGGGAGGAAGCCAGAGTACCCGGAGAGAACCCACGCATGCTCAGGGAGAACATGCATTCTCCATGGATAAAGACCCAGAGCCAGGAATCGAACCCAGATTTTATAAGGGGGTGCAAGGGATCAAAAACACTAAGTTGCCCTATGAAGGGTAAAGGCTGACGTATTTCTGTTTCTTCTTCTGCTTTCATTTGATTGGTGGATTGCAAACAACTTATAGGTGCATACTGCCCCCTACTGTACAAGATTGTGTAGCCTTAAGGTTCCACCTACTATATTCTATTTTTTTATGTTGTGTTATGTAAAACAATGGTTTATGCAGTGACTATTTAAACAAAAACTAAAATTGAAAAATCAAAAAACTTAAGACTTAAAGGCGATCAAAGCAAATAGTGAATTAAACTCCAATAGCCACCTGATGCACCGTGGATTCTGGCTTACGTCGACCAAAAAGATAAAAAGGGTCAAAATCCAGTTCTTTGTTTGCTTTATTCTCTGTACAGAAAAACAGGTTACAGGCTTCACAGGATTCTGCCTCTGATTCCTGCACCTGTTCACTGATTGATTGACTGACTCATTGATTGACTCATAAAAACAAAAC